CTTTAGACCACTGAGCCATCTCACCAGCCCGAAGATAGACTTTTGAGTTAGAGGTTCCCCTCACTTATCCTTAGCATCTTTTATTCTACTACTGTTTCATGGTTTAGAAACATTTTTGCGGGTGTAGGGGTGTGCTTTTCAACATTTCAGAACTTAGATTAAAGGCATGTGCTACCATGCCCAGAGGTTGCTGGCTCAGCATGCCCAGGGGATGGGGGCAACATGTCATGCAGGACCAGGGCTTGAGCCCTGGTCCCAGCACTTGCCAAAGCAGGTACTTAGTCCACTGCACTATCTTGCTGTCCCCCAAATAAATTTTTTTAAAAATATTTGACAGAAGATAAAAAGATGGTATTTTTACCTTTTTCTGGGCTTTGCCTTCCTAACTTGCATTTCCTTAAACCGAATACCTTTTGGGCTTGGGATGGTGATGCACACCTATACTCCTAGTTCTTGGGAAACTACAGCCAGAGGATTGCTGCAAGATAAAGAAGGCCAGTCTGAACTATACAGGACTCTGTCTCAGCATCAACCCCCAAAGAAGAGCTTTTATTTAATTTATATTTTGTAAATCTATATGAGCTATTATTTGGGCAAAATATTATTTTATTATTTTATACTTTTAGAAGTTTGAAACCATGCCTGTTAAAGGTATTATAAGAGATTTTTCCTCATTGGTTCTAAAGTATTTGACAGTTAAACTAGAAATAATTGTTTCTAGGTTCCCCTCACTTATTCTTAGAATCTTTTATTCTAGTACTGTTTCATGGTTAGGAAACATTTTGCAGGTATAGGGCTGTGCTTTTCAACATTTCAGAACTCAGAATTTATTTTGGTAGCATCAAAGTTAAATTAGATTTTTTTTTTTTGGTGGAACTGGGGATTGAACTCAGGCCCTTGTGCTTGCCAGCGAAGCACTTATTCTACTGAGCCATCTCCCCAGCCCTTAAATCAGAATTCTTATGTTCTTATAAGAATGTAACTATGAAACTGTGGAATTAATTATATCTGCCCTCTTTCTTCTAGCCATTCTAAATGAAATAATTCTTTCTGCTGTATGCTAAAGGTTTTTTTTTTTTAATTTATTTATATGTGTGTGTGTGTGTGTGTGTGTGTGTGTGTGTGTGTGTGTTGTGTGTGTAGCCAGCTCAGCCCACCAGGGGGCGGTGCTGGCTAGCATGTGGTGCTGGGGGATTGAACCGTGGTCCCCGTGCTTTGCCAAGCTTGTTCGAAGTAGGTGCTTTAGACCACTGAGCCATCTCACCAGCCCCATGCTAAAGGTTTAATGCACACTATTCTCAAAAATAAATAGAAAGGTAGAGATGGAGCTTCAAACATTTTTGGTAAAACTATAGTCTTTAAGGGCCTGTGATACTACTATTACTATTTTTGCTTAAGGAGGAACATCTTGAAGTTTTGAAATTCAGCGCACAGTTTTAAAGAGATCAGAAACTAAAATTTTTGCAAAATAACATGAGATATAAATTAATACTATATTAAATTTTAAATTTTTAAAATATATTTTAAAAATCTGTCATTTATGTGTTATAGGGTCTTACTATGCAGGTCAGAATTGTAGTGATCCTCTTGTCTCAGCCTTCTTAGCCCTGGGATTACAGGCGTGCGCCACCACACCCAGTTTCAGGGGCCAGCACTGCTGGGGCCCGGGCGGCATGCATAATGGGAATTGAACCTGAGTCCTTGCGCTTGCCAGGCAGGCTCTTAGACTTCTAAGCTATCGCTCCAGCCCCTAAATTTTAAATTTTTGTCTCATAGTAGTTTAGGTATAACCAGTATTGTGTGGTAGAAATAATTCACTCCAGCACTCTGGAGACTGAGGCAGGAGGCTCACCATGAGTTCAAGGCCAGTCTGAGCTGCATAATGAGACCCTGTCTCTAAGAAAAACAACAAGTATTTCTTTAATAGGTCTTTTACAGATGGAAAGCTCTAGATATGGTCAGAGGGTAAGTAAAAGGGAAATGAAAAGATGTATCCAGGTAATCAGTATGTACTACAAACATTTACTAATAAAAATATTTTAAATAAAATGAAAATGACAGTGTTTCCTTGAGGTAATTATTTTTATGCTATTTCTTGAACCATTGAATGCAAGTTTTTTTTCTCAACAGGTTCGGACGTTTACTTAAGGCGAGAACTTATATGCTGGGGTGACAGTGTTAAATTACGCTATGGGAAAAAACCAGAGGATTGTCCTTACCTCTGGGCACATATGAAAAAATATACTGAAATTACTGCGACTTACTTCCAGGGTGTCCGTCTTGATAACTGCCACTCAACACCTCTCCATGTAGCTGAGGTATAGAAAAGCAATTTCTATATTAACAAACAATAACAAGAAGAAGAGCATTCTTTTGCAGCTTTCCTTAAGTAGGCAATTATGCAGATACATGTTTCATTATGCTGTTTGGATTCTGGCATTGTTTGGTGGTAAAATTTGACACTTTTGCATATTTTCCTACTTCTAACAATCTTTTAATACTGTTGTTATAGAAAACTGGGTGATAAAATATTTAACAAGTTAATTTTTAAACTTCAGTTTGGGGAAGTTGATCATTTTAAATATCAAAATATATATCAAAGCTATGATCATAGTATGTATCAAAACTATGATCATAATATATGTGAAAACATTGTTGCCTATTGGTAATAGGTAAAATATTTGCTTTTTTTAAGGTTGCTTTCCATGTATACTAATAGCCAATATAAAGTTGAATAGTTTTTTATACATTATAGTAATTTTAGAGCAAAAAAATTCTAGAGGTCAAACCCAGAGCCTCAAACAAGATAGAGAAGAGCTCTGCTGCTGAGCCACGCTCCCAGCCCTTCGTCGGTTTCACTCCCAAGAAACATTCTGCAGGTAGTCCAATGGTGATTGTTTAAACTCTGATATCATTCCACGTTGAGGCTTGTTTTAGCCTCACTGATTTAATTTATACCGATTATCTAGTAAAAAAATATAAACATAACTATTATGTGTTTATTTTTAGGCTTTTAAAAACTACTTGTGATCAGTGCCGGTATTTATAAAATTATATCCTAACAGAGCTTTGTAAATAGACACAAAATTTTTATTCTAAGAGGTATAATAGCTCCTAGTTTATTACTTGCTATTCTTTGGAAATATGTGCTTATTTGAAAAATATCTTTCTCTATTTTTTAATTTTATGTATTTGGTACAGGGTCTCACTATGCATGTTGGACTCACAGTGATCCTCCTATTTCAGCCTCCCCAGTGCTGGGATTACAGACATGGGCCACCATGCCTGGTTTCAGTGGCCAGCTCTATGCTTCTGGGCTGGCATGGCATGCAGTACTGGGGACAGAACCCGGATCCCTGTATTTCCCAGGCAGGCGCTTAGACTGCTGAGCTATCTCCCCAGCCCTGTTTCTATAATTTCTATACACAATTATAATGTATATGTTTCAAGCCTGTGATGAAAAATTGATTTCATTTGGAGGGATTTAGTAAACATTCGTTACACTAGTAGAGCCTTGTTCAGCTCCAAAAGTGGCAGTCAGTCTCTCTCTCTCTCTCTCTCTCTCTCTCTCTCTCTCTCTCTCTCTCTCT